CTTAAGAAACGGTTGACTACTGTACCCGTGTTAGCTTTACTAAGTGGGACAGGTAGATATACAGTATACAGTGATGCCTCCTACCTGGGATTGGGTTATGTTCTTATATAGCATGGCAGGGTCATAGCTTATGGGTCCAGGTAGTTGAAGAGTCATAAGAAAAATTACCCCACCCATGACTTGAAATTTGCCGTCATTATCCATGCCTTGAAGACCTAGCGCTACTACCTGTATGGGGAGACTTTTGAGATTTTTACTGAGCATAAGAGCTTGAAACACATATTCACTCAGAATGATCTGAACATGCATCAGAGGCATTGGATAGAGCTCCTCAAGGATTATGATTGTAATATCTTGTATTACTTGAGTAAGTAAAATGTAGTAGTTGACGCACTCAGCAAAAAAAATGCAGGTATGTTAGCTTACATAACAGTTTCTGAATGTAGGGTAATAGGGGTCGCACAATAGATACGACTTCATGACTTAAAGAGAGTTGCATGTTTCGACCACCTAGCTGTCCAATATGAGTTGATCCAAAGAATAAGAGAAGCTCAATTAACCAATTTCACCATATCTGCCCTTAAAAAAGATACAGAACAGGGAGTACATCTAGAATTTCGAGTCTCTGCCGATGGATTGCTCAGGTTTTAGGATATGGTGTGTGTTCCATATGATAATAAACTAAAAAGGGATATCATGATAAAGGCTCACAGCTCCAAGTTCGCCATACATCCCGAAAGTACTAAAATGTATCGAAGTATACGACCCCGATTTTGGTAGAGCGGAATGAAAAGAGAGGTAGTCAACTTCGTTTCCAAGTATCTAGTATGCCAACAGGTTAAGGCAAAACATCAGCGCTCAGGCAGGTTACTTCAGCCATTACTGATTTCGGAGTGGAAGTGAGAATATATCACAATAGATTTCGTAACGGGGTTGCCTAAGTCACCCTCAGGTCATGATGTCATTTAGGTAATTGTCGACCGGCTCACCAAGTCTTCTCACTTCTTGGCTATCAAGATGACCAACCCTTTAGACAAACTAGCAATAATGTATATCCGAGAGATAGTTAGGTTATATGGAGTTTAAGTATCAATGGTATCCGACAGAATCTCCAAGTTCACTTCTCGATTTTGGTTTAGTTTTCAGCAAGCTATGGGAATGAAACTGTTCCTTAGCACCGTATTCCACCCTTAAACCGATTGACAATCAGAGAAGACGATTCGTACACTGAAAGATATGTTCTAAGCTTATGTTCTAGATTTCGGGGGCCATTAGGATGATCACCTACCTCTGATAGAGTTCACCTACAATAACAACTATCAGAAAAGTATCGGCATGACTCCGTACGAGACATTGTATGGTCACCCATACAAATCTTTGATTTATTGGGAAGAGGTGGGTGATAGAAAATTATTCAGGTTAGATCTTAGGGAGGAGATTACAGCCAAGATAGTTAAGATCATGAAGAACATCCAAACAGCTCATAATATGTAGAAAAATTTGTGTTTAAGAGATATGGTTCACCCTCATACCGGACGGAGTATTGAGACGATAGAATATTTGGTGCCTATTATCGGACGGGATATAAGAACTGTCGGTCAATTGTAAAATTGGATATTGAGTTCACAAGTAGGGGAGACATCTCTATGCACCCTCAGGGGTACTAGTAAACAAGTAAGAAAGGAAAATTATTGTTTCTCATTTTCTTATGCGTGAAAGTAAAAAGTGATATGGATATGGATCTTCATATGTTATCTTTGAAAAACTCGTTATAGTAAGTATTAAACAAATGTTTTCAAGTTTCAAATGTATTTAAATAAAGTAAGAGCTCTATTAGTAGTGTGATATTCTTACTGGACTAGTATAGCTCACCATTTCATTAACTATTTCAGATCAAGAATACTAATATCCAGATCCCGATCAGTAAAAGGGTTATGAGTAGTTCACTATTTAGATTCTCTTCAAATACTAGTGAAGGTTGTCGTAGGATACTTAGTTATTCGTTTTTCGTTTTATTTCTTTTATTTTTGTTTGTCTTTTAGAATGGATATTCTCATAACCCTATTGGATATTCAAAATTATTGTAAAGAATGTAAACCCTAACTCTATTAATCACTTCCGCATTTAATTCATGAATTTATTTTCTTTTAATTTTCGGGCCTCTGCAATGTGTGTGCCCAAAATTTGGTCAGAATGACTGTTGGTAAACCCTATCACGTGGACGAAAAATTAATTTTATTCTTATTGTTACTGCGTTCATGGAGGGTGTGTGCCTATGTAACCGAAATCAATCAGAGTGATTATTGATGAATCTTATCACGTGAATAGAAAAATCAATTATACTATCACTTTTACTTTATCAACGGAGGGGTGTATGCGTGTGGCCAAAATTTGGTTGGAGTGACTATTGGTGAACCTCATCTCGTGGACAAAAAAGTCAACTATATTGTTTATTGTGTGTTGTTTAATCGTCACATTAGCGAAGGACTCCTATGAGTAGTATTATTGTACTATATTGTATTGTTCTACTATTATTATAATTGTGTCCACGTTAATAGTGGGGTTTCCTACTACTCTCTTTGATAGTAATTAAAACAGCATCGTACGATAAAATTCAATATCTAAGTGTCAATATGTAAATCATACTATTAATTGTGATTGTGCAATTAAATTGTATTGTTATATGTGACTGTAAAAGTGAATTGTATTGTTAACTGTAAACTATGAAAGTGAATTGTAACTGTGAAGATAAAAATTATAACTGTTAGCTTTAACTGTTAAATGTAAATTGATATTGTTAAATGTAATTGTTAAAGTGGAAACTAGAACCGTTAAAATGTGAAGTGTAAAAACATAAAGTTTTTGTTAAGTGCATAAGTGTGAAAGTGTTAGCATATAAAATAAAATGTGAAAAGTGTAAGCATTAAAATGTAAATCTTAAGTGTTAAATGCTAAAAGTGTAAGTGTTAAGTAAACTGTATAAAATGTAAAGAGCTACAAAGTGATGTATGAAATGTCAATTAAAGAGTACACAGTATTAGAAGTGCTAAGTATAAGTAAAATCCAAGGGACATCAAATAAGAAAAAGAAAAGCATGAAAACATCATAGAAGATGTAAAATTTAGTCAAGATAAGAAGTTGAAATAGTGGTGTTACTAAATAAAAAATAACACACACCTACAAATATTTATTGGCAATGATAGATAAAAAAATGATATATATAAGATTTTACAAGTCTGTAATTGCATAGAGATATTGCTAAGACAAAAGGTTGGATACTACGCATATAAGAGTGATTTTCATATTAAGAAAAAAATGAATAAAATATAAAGTAAATAAGGATTTTAGTAGTGAATGCATGTTGTTTACCTTTGGTAACTCTTGATCTACCTTCCTGATATTCTATTTTCTTCCTCTCACAATTCTTAGTTTTTTGTATACTGTCTTTATATTTGTTGTTAAGGTACTATTTTGTTCCTATTGAATATGTAAAACTCACTCAATTTTTCGTGGTATTATAAATTTATATCAGGATGCAATGAAGAGAACAGATGAGTAAAGATATATATGAGACCTTAATAAGGTCTTTGGCACCACATATTTGAAAGTTGGATCTCAATCTTGGGAACAAGGTTTGATACTCAAGGAATATATATTGTAAGAAACCAAGGGTAAAGTAGGAAAAAAATAATAATACGCTGGTAAAATGAGTAGTTTAAATGATAAATTTGTCTTTTTTATTATAACAAATTAGGATTAAGGTTAGATAAATGAAGAAACAGAAAAACATTAAAAAAAAAAAATCAAACCTTTATCCTATTATTATTATGTGGTTCAAGCGATTACAATAGTCTATATTCAGATATATATTCAAGGAAGGAATTATTGAAAAAATTATTGTAATCAAAAAGACCTTTCCTCTCTCAAATCTCTCAAACTCAACTCTTTCTCAACTTTTTCTCTCTTTTCCTCACTTTCTTCCATATCCAAATCATAAATCAAGTTCGTGACAAAATATTATGCTTCAAATAAGAATGTACAAGTATATATGTTTAAATTTTAAAATATGATGAGTTTTTAAAACATAAAATAAAAATTAATTTTCACTAACTATAAATTACGTATTAAATAACTTTTAAATGCGAAAGTGATTCTAGTAACATATATGTAATAGCTATTTAGTTAAAATTTGTAAATATAAAAATAAAATCTAATTCAATTACAATATATATTATATAATTAATTTTTAAAATTATAATGCGTCTATAAGATTGATGTAGACCTAGTAACTATTGCACAAGTAAGTACAATATCAATCTGAAAATTTATACAACATTTGTATATCAACATACACGTACGAAATTATAAATAGACTAAGACTTGTCCAACCTTCAAATTGTGGCACAACAAGGCATAAGAGTGAACTGGGATAAAGAAGACAAGCCACGATAGCGGCGAGGATGAACTCGTACTGACAAATTTTGCAAGCTACATAAACCTGTCTTTTTCACCGTCATACACTTCCCAAGTTAACTCAGGTAAAACAGTAAATATTAATTTTCTTTTCTTTTAAACATGCGTTCAATGAAAAATTGGAAATTATAATAATAATAATTTAACATAACCCAAAATACTCTTGGTCTGTAAATTGGATTAATCAATTTTCTTTTGATGGTGAACTGAGTACGTCTTTGATTAGTAATTGAACTGTACTATGAGAAATGGCGACCAATTCGTCCCAGTAAATTATATCACATCCATCTTTAATATCTCATCTCTCATCTACACCACAACTATTGGCTAATCCAAAATTAGAGATCTAATCCAGATGCCCATCTGTGTCCATCTACCCTATGCCCCAAAAACGCGCAGCATCAGTTCTTGGAGTCACCATCCACTTCCTCCACTTCTACTTTTGAGCAGGCGCGGTAGCAGCCAAGCTTGTGTCAGGTTCTACTTCATCATTGCTGTCTCCTGGACGTTTCTGCTCCATAGACTCCCTGATCATAATACCTGCTCCGGTAGCTTGCTCGAGGTCAATTTGTTGAGTAGTTGACTGCTTCAAGTTTGGGGAAAGCGCCACGCTTATATTTTCAAACAATGTCTCCAGCGGCTGCAGGCTCTTCCTCAGGGAGGGATTCACAGGATTGTTTAGATATGCTTGCGCTGATTCTGGTACGTTTTGATCCAGAATCTTGCACATCTACCGAGAAAACAAAAAAAAAACCATAAGTTAATCAGAATATTTTTCTTCTTCCCAAATGTGGTGCTATACATGATTACCCAACGAGACAAATGCTCACCTCATTGTACCGAACGGCTAGTTCAGTTCGTTCAGAGTCACCAGGCAATGAGAAATCTTCTGGTGCTGCACAGAGAAAATTTAAGCATACAAGGGAACACAACAACTTTAACAACTTTAATTTGCATGAAATGAATGACATTTTTTCCTTTCCGTGAATGTGTCTCTTACTCAAAATAAAAGAAAACTGGATATAGAATTCACGTTCCATGATAGAACAAAGCAATTTTTGAATAAATAATTAACTTACCAATTACTTCTAATGCAGGCAACTGATCAATTGAGTCATCGTCTATATCCATAGTGCTAGGAACTTCGACGCCCGAGCCCCCAGGTACATTCTCAGCCACTTCAGTAGGACTGTTTCCAGTTTCAGCCTGAGAACATTAAAGAATTTGAGGTTTCACATTATCACAAGTGACTTGTTTCTTACCCCATATATTCAAACTACTAAAATAAATAATTTTCTTTTTGTGACCAGTTGTTTGAACATAAGCAGCAAGCCTACAACTCAAAATATCCTAACCCATATATTCTGACTAAACATTTTCCTCTCATCAATTGTTAACAAGGCCACAAGAGAGCTTAGCAATTCGTTTTACCAAGCCAAAAATCCTCAAATTCTAAAAACCAAAAATTTTGACAAACTAAATCATATGTTGATGCTATATGATTAAACCTTGCAAAAAAAAATGAAAAAATTAAGTCACCATGTTGATATTATAACAGAACTTACATCGTAAATTTTTTGGTACTCCGCATTATGGCCCTTCTCCAAGAGGAGTACCCTTTTCTTGACAAACTCAACCTGCCTTCTCTGCATATCTCTGAAGTGGTAGAGTATAGAAGGGTCTTGATATAACTGCGAATGGCTTGCAGGATCCACTGGTCCCTGAGCCATGTCAGTTGTCCTGTCATCCCCAGCACCCAGACTGTTGTTGCCAGGTCCTTCCACATTAGATGTAGTTGCCCCATTTTGTGTTTGAGAACTTGATTGTCCTGGGGCAGGTAGATTTATAAATGGAAGATTCAGCTCTTTGCATATAACTTCCTGAATCCTCAGGTCCTTGTCATCAACAATAGCTTGCCATCTTCCATATCCATGCCTTAAAATAAAAATGTCAATTATAAGTAATCACAACTATAAATCAATTAGACTGAAATTATCAGTAGGTATAAGGGGATCCAAGGTAAACTACACGTAATGATCCAGAATGAGATTTTACCAAACTAATAACAAAATATCAGAAACATACTTGAGAACAGCACGCAGTAATATTAGATCATGTTCCTCTTTCCAAAATTTGCCACCCTTCAAGGCTGGATAGCGTGCAACAATATCATCACCATAAAGAGGACTGCCAGGATTTTCTTCTGCATACTGGATCTGCATTTAAAGTTTTTAAATCGAACTTTTGGTGAGTCAAAGCCAGGTACTTGTCATATGCACAAATATAAAGACATACAAGTAGTAATCTTATATTTCCACCCAAGAATGATGTGGAACCAGACTCAAAATGCAGAGAGAGTAAAGGTCAGTGGAGTAAGCTCACACCACAATCTCGCTAAACCTTAATATAAAACTTGAGAAAAGGCCAGAAAAGAATCTTTTTTTTCAGCTAAAGCTTTTTCATTAACTGAACTGAGCGTTAAAACAAGTGAACCAACATGATTTAGGAAAGTAGATGAAATGTTAATCCTTTAATCTTATCCCCTACATAATACAATTAAAATCAGGCTGAATCCCTGATATTCAAAGCCCAAGCCAGCTGGACACCCAAATCAAGCACACTAATTTATAATTTCATATGGGAGGAGTCAATATAGATAGACAACATTGAACAACCCATTACATCTACGAGAACATCCATTTGATAACTTACCCTTTCTTGTATCAACGTCAAAATTGCAATACGGACCAGTACGTCTGGAATTCGAAGTCCCTCCTTTGGCACACCATCTACAACAAAAGTGACAATAAGAAAACTTAAATTTCATACTACATCAAAGGCAGAAACCAAAAATTTGAGACACAAGTTGAAACAACAGTGCCAAAGAATAAGGAAATCAATCACCTGAAAAGGTGGGCGAGTCATTTAAATCTTCAACAACATGCCTTAGGAAGAGAGTCCCATAACTGAACAAAAAAATTGCTATTAATTAATACACTAAATACACATAATAGTAGAGGAAATTTTTAACAGATGTGAGATAGTTCATAGAATAGAAGCTACAGTAAAATGGAATAACAAAAAAGGGGAACAAGAGAGCACTTGGACATTGCAAATGGCCTTTCACATTCCCATAATGCAGCTCAAACAAGCTTTGCAAAATGAGTATTTTTTTATGCGCTTCTAACCACAAAAACCATTACAAATCATCCCAATTTCATCTTGCTAAATGTTAAACAGGAAAAGGCACACATCTGTGGCATCTAAATTAAAATATAACTGCCATTTCAGAGAGATGAAACAAATAAATCAAATAATTTTACCAACTTATATTCTGATGCATAGTCAAAACTAATGCAACATCACCACCACAGATTCAAAACACCAATAATGTAGGTTAACAAAATAAAAAGATCAAGTTAATACTCTCTTATTTCTTCAAATGTCTTCTGTTTTAAACGCGGGACAAACTCCTTCCAGTCAAAATCCCCAAGACCAAACCTGCAATATGATGCTAAAGTAAATAAGCTACAAAAAGGGGCAAAGCAAACACATAAAATAAGGATAATGCCCAAAGCTCCATATTCTATTCAAATCATGTGCAAGAATAGGAAGTGAAAGGAATAAATACATTATCATATGACTAATGGACCAAAAATTACAAACAACAAGCTAACCTCATGAGTATCTGCACAAACGTAGCCCTCTGATTCTGGTTGAATCCCAGTACTCTGAAAGATCTACCTTCACCTTCCATCAAAGGTGCTGGTTCCGAGCTCCCTGCAGCAAAATATTGTCAAATTTTTGGCACTAAAAATAAAGATATAAGGCACACTGTTTACAATCAACCCAAGGAAAATATACCGCGAGCTCTCTTTCTGTAAGGCCTTCTCTGAGTTCCAGATGAAGTCGTATCACCATCAGTCAAATCAGCTTCATAATTGTCATCCTCCCCCTCAGAACTCACACCTTCCAGACCAGCAAGGTCATCTTCTTCAACAGATACCATCTGAAACAGATCAATTTGCAAAAGTTAATATCATTTTTTCAAACTCAAGGTTTTACCATGATATTGGCGTAAATATCACCCCCAAACCAGAAGGGTATAGTAATTAATCTTCCCCCAAAGAGAACCCCCCTACCAAGACCACTCTCTCTACTTAACTGAGTTGACTATTATTCAAGAAGTTTCGGGTTCAGCAAAATCTATGTAATTGGGTTAATCTTATCCATGACCTAACTATTTGCCCTAGAAATTCATCTACCTAAAACCATAACCCACAAACAACTATGGAGGAGCAGCAAAAACTTCCAACCTAATTCATGACTGGAACCAACTGAGATATAATTTAAGAAACAGGGACAACAGCAAGAGACAGAAGAAATCAAATTTAAATCTGCGAACTTGTAACCACGTAACCTTAACCCAGTGATTTGGTATATAAATCTTCCCTGAATTTTAGGCACTCTGTAGCAGATCAACCGATTTTGGTTTGGTTAGATCTCCAATAATTTTCCACCTTGAGTAGAACTGTGGTTTAAGATCTCAACAGCAACTTATTAAGATGAACACAAATTATCATTATTTCTTGGCAGGTTTGCTGTGACAGATTCAGATGTTGATAAAGGCACGAGCCGACATGGCTGCCTTAACTTGGTGGTTTGTGGGATGACAAAGTGGCTTTTCAGCCCCGTACTTAAAGCATGGGAGAAGTAATTATCTCAAAACAAGTAGTTATCTCAAAACAAGTAGTTATCCCAAAAACCAATTAGTTATCTCAAAATTGAGAAGCAATGTTTTCCAGAAAATGCATTTTGCGTGGTGATTCTTTTGGTAAGTGAAAGCTAGATCCAACTTTGATTTTCTTTTCTTAATCTAGGGCTAAGAAAATTTTTTACCTTGTTCGATGTCCAGTAAAATATGTCCAAGTAACAGAGGATCTTTATTTCCCCATTTTAAATACATATCTTTTGGCAATTAGGAAAAAGGAAGAAGACCCAACCACGGTATTTGAGCAAGGGTGGAAAGGTCTTGTATAAAAAGCACTGTACCTGCTTACGGCTTCTCTTCCCTTTGCCCAAAGCACTGAACTCCTCAACTTTATGCACTTCATAACTGTCTTTTAACAACTCTTCCCAAAAGTTTGATCTTTCAGAATTGCTCATTGAAGATTTGTTTTCCATGGCTGCTTTCTGTGCCTTTTCTTCTGCTATGGCATCTGCTTCATCAATATATTCAAAATTTGCCACCTGCAAATGTATATCAGTATACTACTTCCTTAGCAACCCATAAAGCATAAACAAGAATAAAAGACTTGCCAAATCAATTGGTAGAACTGCAAAGCTTACGGCTTTGTGTCTGCAAGAAATCGGCTACAAAATTACAAGATAGAGAATTTCATATGGCCTTCTACAACTTAGTACTATACTGAAAACAACCAATAGACAACCAACCACAAGGATATGCACTAGAATGCTTACTTCCATCCTAAAATTACTGTTGAGACATATTCTACAGAACCACAAGCTCAATAAGCAGGATTTAGAAATTCTTTTTGAAATAAAAGTATAGCATGTATCAAGCAGGGTTTAGAACTTGACCAAAACCCTAGATTTGATAGAGAAAGTCTTCATAATCACACAGGAATATTTTTTAGTAAACACACATGATCCATTTTGACAACTCAATAAACTTCCATTCTTCTATGCCATGAAAAATTTTAATGGCATGTACGCACCAAAAACTCGTACTTCAAGCAGAGGCAGACCAAGGTGTGCATGCAATGAAAGAAATATAAAATAAGAGAAGAACAAGATGTAGTTGTGTGTTCAAATCTCACATTTCATCAACTATTTATAAGTGACATAGCTCCAGAATCCTAAAATGTGATAGATGTGAAATGAATAGTTAGGATTCTCAAAATCCTCATAGTTTAATAAATATTTAATTTAGAAGATCTGACAGATTACAGTATTGATTACAGTATCAAACCTCACAGTGACTAAAAGATGCAACAAAGAAACAGTCAAATGCTTTCTTTTACTCTTTTATTCCACGTTTTCTCAAGTTAAATGCCTGGCAATGTGAAACCAGAAGGGGAAAAAATCACAAAATTTAATTAGAAAGCGTGATCTTATAGAGAGAAACAAAATTTCGGTGCCTCACTTAAAAAGTAGAAAAAGAGCTAAAATATAAGATCGAACAGAAGAGCAAATGCTAGTAACTGCAAGAGAGTTCCCAAAGTCACCTCGATAACTTAAAGACTACTACTAAAGCTACAAAGTAGACTCCCTAAAATGTTTAGTGTGTCATGTGAAAGGAACATTTACTTATAATGGTTAAAAAAATTAGGTGAATCATGGTAAAAGATTCAGGCTAAGATTGACAAGAGAGAATGATTGGACAAAAGGAGAATGAGCAACAAGAAATTTCCTCCACTTGGTATAAGAGGAAAGTGAAAGGAGAAAATGTAAGTACCTTTTTCCCAAATGTTTAGATCACAAGCTGACATTCAAAAGATTAGAGAGTGAAAAATGATTCAAACTTCGTTTTCTCTTTCCTTCTCCCATCCACTTCTCCAACTTTTTCACTAAACAAGTGAAAGATCAAAACTTGCTTTGCTCTTTTTTTCCGTCTTCTCTCTTTTCGCCACTTAGTTTTCTAGTCTAATAACCATACCCTTAAAGACACAAGGAACTAACAAAGCGCTTCACCAGCAATCAGCCCCAATAGGTGTATTTAGGATTGAGAGGAAGATCCTCAACATGTTGGTCCGTATTGAAAAAATCAAGAGTACTCAAGGGTCTCTACAGCATATATAAATAGTCTATTAAAGATTAGAACAAACCTTGAAAGCCTTCAAAAATCCATCTTCCTCTTCATCATCCAATGAAGCCTCTTCAGCATCAACATGATCACGATCGAGTAATCTACCACAACAAAGTACAAAAAAATTAAAAGAAATGAAGTAAACAAAGAGAGGAATGAACTTAGATGCAATAAATTAATTTAAGTCAAACAAAAAAAAATGAAAGAGATAAGAGAAATAGGTTACCTATCAATAGCAGCATCATCGTAATGGATTTGGCGAGATTTTCCTGCTTCATCATTTTCATCAGCAAAGAGCTCCTTTGACCCATATCTAATGATGTCATCCAACTCTTCCTAAAGAACAATTAAACCGTTCTTAGTGCTGGATAAATCAACTATGTCTTCCACTATTTCACTTACCTCCTTTTGAAACTTTTTCACTTTTTGTTCTCACACCTCAATACTCAAATTATATCCTATTGCTTTAGGTTAAACGAAAGCACCAATCAAATTTCTGACGTGTAAAAACTCTACTCAAATTAGAACCATAACTATTGCTTACACCATGATGAAAAGTAACATAGTTTGTTCCTAACTCCGTTCAGCAAAAAGTAACATTATATAGGCAAAAGGCTTTAACTGTGGAAGAAAATCATACCTGGTTGATGTTTTGCGTCTTCAACTTTCCAACAACAAGATGCTCTAAAATCATTTTCTTCTTTGTCATCTGCATCATTCGTTCTTCAATAGTACCTCGCGTTATGAGCCTATAAATCATCACCTGCAATACCAAAACAATACTAATTAAAAAGTTAATTTTCCTTTTAGAAGACATCACAAGTACTCCAAATTAACCTTGTTTGTCTGACCAAGTCGATGAGCTCTAGCCATTGCCTGTAGATCAGCATGCGGATTCCAATCGCTAGAAACGCGAACAGACGACGTGAGTAGCTTAAACAAAATTAAAAGGAAAAGAAAACACGTTGAGCAATGTAAAACTACACCAAACAAGTTACAATTGATTATCAAAGGTCCCTCTGCATTGCCTCTTCAATGCACCTTTCATAGCAGGGGAGAGAGAGAGACTAGTTAGGAAATTCGGAATAATAATTGAACGACAGTAAAAACAATAGATAGCCTTACCGCCAAAAGATGAAGATTCCTGAACTTACCACTCAAGAGGTTAAAAAGAGAGGTTGGTCCAACTTTGGACATAATCTAGCAGATCAGTTCCTTAATATGCCTTGTGGTGATAATGGGGACACCTCCCCATATGATCAGTAAGAATCCACATAAAAGAACTTACAGTCCTACCTTATTCCTTTGCTTAATTACAAGACTAATGTTAATATACAGAACGGCGTTGATTTGCACCTTTTGGTGCTCATAGCAATACATATTATACTTTGTTTTCAAATCTATAAATATATATATAGAATGGCGTTGAACTTTCCACATTCGAACCATCTCAACTCCCATCTTCAATTCCCAGTGATGAATTTCTAAATTCTACTTCTTTATTACGACCCCAAAGAATTCAAAGTGAGAATCAAGGTGGTTTAAGCATGAAAATTATAATGCAATTCCATAGATCAAGATTTATCAAATAATTAAATGAAGAACTAAGGTAAATTTTGAAAGAGAATTGAACTATGAGACTTCATGTCCATCTTGGACAGTAAACTGTACCAATGAAAGCCGTGATTAACATTCTAAACTTCCCCAACCAATAATCTGATAAGTGAATTAGATCACATAATCCACATAAAACCTGGATGTTTAGGCTCTTTAAATATCTCTAATCCAGCAGCTTGCTTTGATATCTATTTTACTGTCACGACAAAAGAAAGGTAGAGGATACAAGAAAGAAAGCATTAAAAAGAGCATGTAATTTCACCTGTCGTATATGATGACTGTGTCAGCAGTTGCAAGGTTGATTCCCAAGCCACCAGCTCTAGTAGACAGCAAAAAGCAAAATCTGGAAGAGTTTTTGGCGTTAAACCGGTCTATGCGTATCTGTCTCTCAGCTCCACCAACCTTTCCATCTATACGTTCGTACTGCCATTTCTGGTGAATGCAAAAAGCATAAACATTACAAATTATCCATGCTACCAAGACACTAACCAGTTTAATGAGCACTATAATTGAGGAAGAAACAAAATAAAAATCAAATGTATACCTTGTAAGTACAATAATCTTCTAGTACATCAAGCATGCGTTGGAACTGTGAATATATAAGAACTCTATGACCTTGCTCCTTAAGCTTCATCATCATTTTGTCCAACAGCTGCAATTTTCCGGCTGATTCCAGAAGTTGTCTGTCAAAATAATAAATGATTAAAGACAAGAAAACGAAGCAAAAAAGCCAGAGTTTTCAACACATAGTTTAAGATATTTTGATAATAAAGCATCCAAATCATCAAAATGTGGAAGTTTTAACACAATATGCAAAGATTTGTATATAGAAGAAATTCAAAGGAAGCAAAGAAAACAAAAATATCAACAAAGCATAAGATGTATCTCTGGAAGCAAATAACATAAACTATCTGAACGACAACACAGGCGGAAGTAGGTTGGTAGATATATAAATTTAAAATGCATGCATGGCATTACCTGTAAGCTTCATTTGAATCCTCTATATCTGGTTCAACCCCCTCTAGGAGATATGGATGACAACAAAGCTTCCGCAATTCCATAACAACATTAATAAGAGAGATCTGAAATATAGGAAGATTTAGTTAACAATTATATTCAAGATAAACAACAATGAAAGCAGTTTAATTTTCACCACTATTTACATCCTCACCTGCGCACCCCCACGTCGGGTCAATATCTGGTAGTTGCGGGTAAGAATTGCCTTGTAGTATTCTTTCTGTTTGCTACTCAGTTCAACACGTAATATGAGTTCTTTCTTTGGTGGTAACTCCTTCATAACATCTTTCTTAACCCCTACATCAAACATTGGAAAGTTATAGAAATTTTCGACAACATATATATGTATATGTTGATTATATAAATGGAGGATCAGCATCCTATTTGCTAAAAGAATGCTGCTTAAGCAACCCTAGATGAGATTCAATTTTCAGAGTACAGGCCAGGAAATTTCTCAAGATGCCAATCAGAGATTAAACTGAAACACAGAATTTGGTGAAGCTTAAGACATATACTTCTAAGTAGATGTGGAGCCAACATTTTGTGTAGTCTCATAATCTGCTCTTCTTGATTGATGTCCTTAAACTCCTCCTGGAACTCCTCTAAGCTTCCAAACTGCAAGCATGAACCAGCAGGTATAAGGAAATGCCCCCCAAATATTTTCACATTATCATTTTTTAGCCATCTCTAGAGATACTAACCTTCCCAGCATCAAGGAAGTGCATCAGCATGAAAAGTTCATCCAGATTGTTCTGTAAATATAACAGATTGGTATCAAAAAACATAACATGTAACTCAGACATACATAGTAGAAAGAAAGAAAAAATAAATAAATAGGAATAAAAAATCTCAAATGATAACAGAAGAAAAAATGTTATTCAAGAGACATGAGAAGCCACAAACTTCCGTAAAAGTTAATCTGATACTGTCAATAGGCTACATGCTTTGTAAAGGAGAACAACTAAAACGAAGTCTTCCTATCAATAGACAAAACCATAAATCAATGGGTTGATCCTGTCCAAAGTCTTGTCAATATACAAAAAGAATTTAAAGTTCTTGTCATTGGGTTAATCAAGTTGTTCTCAGCAAAAGAATTACAAAAATTCTCCTAGACCTTCACAAGTGAAAAAGAGAATATGCAAAGCAATTAACAATAACTTTTTTAAGAAAAAAGTTTATTGTTAAAGCAAGAAGGGGGTGCTCTTATACAAAAGAATGGGTTAAAAGTTAGTCAAAATATTAAAAGGGTCTCCAACATCCTCCTCAGAGAAGAGATGATGACTTTTAAACAAAAAAGGAAGTCTGGGCCAATTAAGAAACGTTCTATTCCTTTTCTTCCAAACAACCAAAAATTGTCAGAGGAATTAGGGAGATCAACTTCTCCAGCTTCTTCCAACCTAACGCAGCAATGATAAGTAAAAGAACATTACTAACTAATCTGACATATAACAATCATTTTCAGACTTCATTTCTCTCTAGTCATTACTAGCCTCTACGCCAAATAGATATACAAAGCGAAATGCTTGCCTTAAGTACACAGGCTTCTCATCCTAAACATGGATCTTATAGGACTACATGAAATTATAAATTATTCAGCATTAATGATACATAAATACACAACAAACCTGAAGTGGTGTTCCAGTCAAAAGCACACGATGGTTACTAGTATATTGCTTCAAGGAAGAAAACAACTTTGAATCCTTATTTTTGAGACGATGGCCTTCATCAACAATCTACACAAACATGTCAGTCTAAACATCGATAGCATAGTGATGAATAATGTACTCATGAACCAAAGAACATTACCATGCATTCCCATTTAATTGGTTTCAATGACGCTGTGTCCAAGTTGATCATCTCATATGATGTTAGGAGAACATCAAATTTAATTCTTTCTTGTTTGCTTTCACTAACAATCTGACCATATTTCTTTTTCTTGATTTTTTTATGACGTTTGGGAAAATAAAATTCATGTTCCCTTATAACAGTACGGGCTTGAGCAGAGCCAACATACATTATCTGCACCGCATAAAGTTCAAGTCAAGAAAATGTTTACTGAACAATAACCAGAGTGAAACAAAATCTTCCATTACATACAACATTCATTTGGGGAGCCCATGTTGCAAATTCCCGTTCCCAGTTTCGCAGAGTTGACAGTGGGGCAACCACCAAATGTGGAGTGATGCTTTCTTCAAAAAGAGACGCCAAAAAAGCAATACTCTGTATGGTTTTTCCTGAAGAGAAATAAGAGCCAAGGCATCAGAACACTTTTTATTGTTTTTCCTGAAGAAATCCCTTGTTTGGTAATTATCCAGACTTTACCCAAACCATGAAACATCAAAAAGCACTACCAAAACCTAATGATAAACATGTTGGGAAAAAAGAAATAAAAGCCTGCAATATCACAAAAGAAACAAATAAAAAATAAAGAAAACACAAAAAACAAGGAAACAAGCGCAAAACAAAACAGGACTTACCAAGGCCCATCTCATCAGCAAGTATCACATGTGTTTGTTTGGACCATGAAAAGCGTAAGAAGTTCAGCCCCTCAAGCTGATATGGATGCAGTGAGCCTTCAGTTACAGCAAAAAGAATCCAGTATCACATAATGATCAAAAGAGGAAAACTTAAATACATACGAGCACACAGATCATAGAATAGGAAGTATAATATGGTTATGTACCTCCAGAGAGAAAATTGGGACTATGCTCATACTGTTGGAATTCTCGTGCTTTCTTTTTCAACTCAACCTGTTTACTAGCAGACAAGTTTTGAGACCTAGACTGAATTTTATTAAACCTTTCAATTTCAGGTTGAAATGCAGAGATATCTGATTCAGACTCCCAATAACATTCATCATAAGAAAGCTCTTTATACTTCACAAGATATTCTTTTTCCTCGTCTCCTCTGTAACATTCAGTAAATAGATTACATTCATCAATCAGAAAATGAGATCAAAATAAGATGGTTAAAGTTGTTAAGAATCCATGATAAGAAGAACAATAAAAACACAAGCACCACCTACAAATGACAACACAACAATAATAAGTCAATATATTCATCATTTTATTATGTACATAACCAAAAAAGGAAAAAAGAAAAAGAAATATTTCTGCTCTCATTTCCTAAAAACAACTAACTCAAAAAGATAAGAAGTGTACATGTGATTCAATTTAACAAGGGCATGGCAAATCTGACAGCTAACTTTCTGAAGCCAAACTAGGTGTCAATATTAAAGATGCAGGATTCAGAAAACAAAGTTGCCCAACTTTGATAACTAATTTCAAATCAGGAGAACCTTAAAGCTCAGTTTATGTTAAAGTTGAATAAAAAAGGATCAAAAACAGAGAGGCAACTCATATATTAAAAAAATGACCCTAAAGAGAACCTGCAGGCAAGAATTCTATCAACAGTAGTCCACTCTGGCCGAATGGCAACAAAATCTTCCTCAGAGTTATTGATTGATGACATTTGACGATTAAAGTTGTTCACTTTAGTCTTCAAACGAGGATTTGACTTGAAAGCTTTCAGGAACTCTTTCTCCGGTACCCTAGGGAAGAAAAGAAGGAAAGAAGAAATTAATGGAAGATCAGACAAAGGATCTCAGATTAACTCACAACAAACAGACATTATGCAGGACTAGCATCATTAGTTTTATTGTTTCTTTATGAGAAAACAAGGAGTCACATAAACAATGACCACAACAAAAATTTGCATCCTGCCTAATTCTGAAGACGGAGAAATTACCAAGTACAATGCAGGTAAGATAATCCCTTCCACTTCACAAGGTATTGTTTTACAAAAATTTGCTTTGCACCCAGCTTAGAGGCATCATTACCACCAGCTACTGTTGGGCGCATTTCACAGTCCAATATCTTGTCAATATCATTCAAAGGGCTAACCTGCAGAGGAAAATGATAATTCTCAATGAACCTCAAATGACAGGAAATTAGATCATGGAAGCTTTCATTATCGTCAATGTACTATAAAATCTTACGCATTCAGGACACCTCCAGTTTTCAGGAAGGGGAGCTTTTATAGGTGGAACTAAACATTTAGGATGGTAAGCATAAGTACATGTTTCACAGCTCAAAAGATTTTCACCTTCGCCACAAGCTTGACATGCATTGTCTTTCTATGGATCAAGGAAAAGAACACAGATTAAATGTAAAAGATAATCGAATAATTTACTGAAGTTAGTAAAATAAGCACAGGAGATATGAGATGATGAGGGAAAAAGAGAATATATTTTTTGTTAAATATTCCAATTATGAATGCAGTCAATTCTCAAAGCAAGACATCAAAAGTCCTCAAGCAACATGAATAAGCTCTTAAGAAACCATTGAAATGCATCAGCAATATGTTTTATCCATAATTCAGCATAAATCAGCTCCTAAGCTGAAGTTATATTGAATATTTTTTCTATGTAACCGAAAATTAAAAATATATATATTTAGAATAATCATAGTATAGAGAGAAAAGGAAAAGATACACATATAATAAGAAATATTGAGGAAGTAGAAGAAACAGACCGCATCAATCCTGACTATCGGCTCAAACTTTTCTTGAGCACCAGGCTTTTTTGGAACAAGATCCGCATCATCATCTGATTCATCTAAGTTATATATCGGCCTCCGATCCGACCTAATCCTCAACCTTTCAACCAAGCTACTCATATTCTGCAAGTATTTCATTGTTAAAAACCACGATACAGAAAATTTGAAATTCATGCTGAACAGTTAAAAAAATAAGTCCAAGTGGCTAAAAGTAAATGTGGAAAGTACCAGACAAGAATATATAGTACCAAAGGAGCAATCAATCATATAGCTAAACAAACTAATTATCCATATCATTGTATATAAATGATATATTCACGTCTTTTCCCTCTTTTGGCTCCTTAATGAATATTAACTAATCCTACTATAATCCAAACATCCATGAAATATAATACTAGATAAAAACACCTGTTCTTAACATTTTTCCCGGTAAATTATCAGTTCTTAACAATTTACAGGGTAAGGAAGGAGTCTTATACCTCATATTCTTTTTCTATAGAGAAAAAGAGTATTATTTACAAGGCATCAAGAGTGTCAGCCACGGAGAAAAATGCACGAGGTAGATTAAAGAGGTCCCCTTCTCTATAGAGTTTGTGATCATCAATTCCAAAAAGAAAAGGACATAATCTTTGGAAAGGAGATTCAACTCCTACAAGGCCTTATATTCTACAATCCATTGCATCTACTTTCAGGAAAGAAAAAATATAAATAGGTTTCTCAAGTAGAGAATCAAAGAACATCAATTGTAAATCTAAGCATCTTTCCAACACTAAACCTAGAGGTACAATATACATGCCTGAAGTACCCTACAACCTTCATTGTCTTATCTTGCTTTCTTTGATATTGTACTGTCATGGTCTCTATGGCAGTAACATAATTCTCCAGTATTTTTAACTACAAATTTTCTTATGCAAAGAGATCTTATTCTCTCAAAAACCAAATCTCTAAAGGTTCTCTTGCCTCTAGTAGAAAAAGG